GAAGCCGGGGGGGGGGGAGCCCCTTCTGCTTAAAAGGGGGCACTCGCGCCCCCGGCAGCGGCTGACGGCCGCGCGGCTCTGGAAGAGCGCACGCGTCGGGGCCCAACACGCACGAAGCTGATCGTCGCGGAGAGCCCGCCCCGCGAGCTTGTCCTGGACACCCAGCCCCTCCTGCAGGCGCGCCATCCCACGGCAGCAGCGGTCGCCGGCCAAGACATCGATCCGTCGGTCGATCATCGAGAGGAGCATGGCGCGCCCCTCAGCAGCTGCCGCGGGCGAACCCGTGCGCGCGGAGAGCGCCCCAGGCAAGCTCGCCCTCGGCGCCCAGCCCCCGTGACAGGCGCGTCGCCCAGTCGCAGCAGCGGTCGCCGGCCAATAACTCGACTCGTCGAGCGGTACTCGAGGCGGGAAGTGCGCGCCCCTCGGCAGCTGGTGCGTACGGAGCGCAGGCGCGCGAAGAGCGCCCCTCGAAAGCTCACCCGTGGCGCCCAGCCCCTGTAACAGCAGCGTGTTTTTTGCGTCACCTTACGGCGGTGGGAGCTGCCAGAGTTTGCTCTCTCCGTTCACACCCCTTTGCAGTGGCGCCCAGCCCCTGTAACAGCAGCGTGTTTTTTGCGTCACCTTACGGCGGTGGGAGCTGCCAGAGTTTGCTCTCTCCGTTCACACCCCTTTGCAGAATAGCTTCAAAGAAGGACCAAGCGCACCAGCGACACAAGGGACTGTTCTACTAATCAAAACCCGCCCTCAAGGGCTGGGAATGCTGCGCTCCCACGCCACCTCCCGCGAGCCCCCGACCGCCCGACGGCGCCGACCCCGCGAATTCATCGCTCATCGCGGGACGCGGGGGCTCTCTCGGCTCTACGGACGGCCTACGGGACCGGCCCCAGCTTCGGCTGAGGGCTGAGGTAGAGCCCGACAAGCTGCCGAGCCCGAAGGAGGTGGGCGTGGGAAGGTGGGGTGGTCCTCACCCCGGCGGCCCGCGCACGCACGCCGTCTGAGCCTAGCGCAGCGCGAACTCGCTCTGGGCCTAGCGCAGCGCGAGATTTGCGCAGCAACCCGGCCGGGCAACCGTTTAAAAAACTTATGATTCTTCTTTCTGTGAACAGCGATTGAGCGCCTCCCTCTCTCTCCGGCTGCGCGCATGACCGGTGCGGCCTCCGAGTCGGCGTCTAGCGCGCGCGATAAGGTTTTTGCTCGCCTTCCCTGGGTCCCCGTGTTGCATGTCTGACTGTCACTGTGCTGTTTCGGGGCCCGGGGTTGTGCGTTTATGTGAACAGCGATTTCGGGCCCGGGGTTGTGCGTTTACGTGAACAGCAGCCGGAGCCCAGCCCGCCTCGCCTTCCTCCGGCTGCGCGCCTTCCTCTCCGGGCAGGGGACGCGCAGCACATCGCTCGCGGCCCAGCTCGACTCGCGGCACGACACCGAGGGGCAGGACACGCTGCTCACCTGGGCCGCTCGGCACGGGCAGGCCGAGGCGGCGCGGCTGCTGATAGAAGCCGGCGCGAGCGTCGGGGCGACGACTGGCGGCGGCGCTTCCGCGCTGTACATCGCGTGCCAGAAGGGCCACCCCGAGATCGCCCGGCTGCTCCTCGAGGCTGGCGCGGCAACCAACCAAACCCAGCAGCACGGCGCCACACCACTGCTCGTCGCGTGCCAGAAGGGCCACCTCGAGATCGCTCGGTTGCTGCTCGAGGCTGGCGCAGCGGCAAGCCAAGCCCGCAACGACGGCTCCACGCCGCTGCTCGTTGCGTGCCATGGAGGCTGCATCGACATCGCCCGGCTGCTCCTCAACGCCAGCGCGGCAGTCGACCAAGCCAACGCCAGCGGCTTCACGCCGCTGCTCGTTGCGTGCCAGCAGGGCCACCTCGAGATCGGCCGGCTACTCCGTGATGCTGGCGCGGCGATCAACCAAGCCAAACATGGCGGCGTCACGCCGCTGTACAAGGCGTGTGAAAAGGGCCACTTCGAGGTCGCTCGGTTGCTGCTCGAGGCTGGTGCAGCGGTAAGCCAAGCCCGCAACGACGGCGTCACGCCGCTGTTGGCCGCATGCCACCATGGCCACCTCGAGATCGCCCGGCTGCTCCTCGCGGCTGGCGGGGCGGTCAACCAAGCCAGGCAGGACGGCGCCACGCCGCTGATCATGGCGAGCCAGGAGGGCCGCCTCGAGTGCGTCCGGCTGCTCCTCGAGGCTGGCGCGGCGATCGACCAGGCCGATGAGCAAGGCGCCACGCCGCTGTTCGCGGCGTGCCAGGACGGCCACCTCGAGGTCGCCACAAGCTCCTCTCCTCCTACGGCGCCTCCCGCGCCGCTACGCCCTTCGGCACGCCCGAGGAGGCTGCAACTGAAGAAGGCCACGCCGACCTCGCCGCTTGGCTGGTCGCCAGCCGCGGCTGGACGCCGCTCGCGCACCTTGAGACCCTCACCGCCGCCCGCGCCACCTCCCTCCTGCGCAGCGGTGCAAACTTGCACGAGGGCGAGCCGACGCCGCTGCAGCGCGCCGCGGGCGGCGAGGGCGAGGCGGCGGCGCTGATCCGGCGGGCGGCGGCGCCGTGGTAGCCGGCAAGCCACTCGCTCTTCCCCGCGGCGGCGCGCGCGCGGGCGGCGCTCCTCGTCGTCTCGCTCTACGAGATCCACGAGTGGCAGCAACTCGGCCGGAGCCACGAACGGCATCGCGGCGCTCGACTTTGTCGGGTGCGTGCTGCGCTTCGCGATCACGCGCGAGACGGAGTAGGGGAGCTGTGCCGTGTGCGGTGAGTCGCTCTGCCTGCTTCTCCACGGAGCATTGTGCTGTCTCCGGAACTGCTGGCAGTGGGGACGTTCGCCGATATCTTCTTTGGCTTCGATCGAGGTCTGTTGTTGGCAAAGCAAAAGACACAGGTTCGTAGGCTTGGTTCGTGGTCGAGTGTACGCCGGGCATTAACACTATATTCCGCCACCACGGCGGCGCGCGCGCCTTATCCCTTATCCGCGCGCGATATTAGCGGTAGAACCAAACTTGTGTGGTTGTTTTGGGTAAAACGTATAACAGCACTCTTCGCGACGCGATGCGGCCTCCTAGGCCTAGCCCTCCTGCTCCTATGCGGGAGCTATGGCGGGACCGCTATCGAGTAGTTCTATGCCCCCCTCTCCCCCCGTCGGTCTCTCACATCCTACACGCGCAACTAACTCAGCTACAGCTACTCTCTCTCGCACTGCAAGGCGCATGGCATGGAGTGGGTCACTCACTCTCCGTGAACCCCAGACGGACAGCCTCAGCACGTCACGATGGAGAGCACCTTCACCTTGGCTTTGGTCTCGCCGCGTCGCACGCAGGTCTTCTGGCCGCTCCCAGAGCACGCGACGGTGTGAGCACCGGGCCTCCACTCAGAGGGAAGCACGCGGAGGTGGAGGTAGTGCCAACCTGACGCGTTGGCGACCGAATGCACGTCGTGCTCGGGCACCGACTCGAACTTTGCCCAATGCGACGCGATGGACCACGAGCTGACCGGGCAAGCCCAACTTTCGCAGAGGGCCTCGCGCGCCTTGCGGCACTCGCCGCAAGTCTCGCGACATCTCGAACGCACAAAGTCCTTTTTGCAAGAGCGCCGGTGCTGACCGCACCAGCGGCCGTCCTTGTGGTCAGCGCATGTGGAGAGGTTCTTCCACGCGCCGTAGGCAGGTATGGAGCCACCATGTACGGCTTCAGGCCGCCAGAGGCTCGCCTCGAGGGCGCCTAGCGCAACCGCGCCACGCGTCGGGACACATGTCATCAGCGATAGGCCCGCCTCCAACGGAACTCGCCCATCTCGGGGACGTAGCTGCGCAAGCGGGCGAGGATGACGCGACCCTGGCCACCAAGCTGGACGGAGAACAGAATGCTTGTGCCTGCGGCCGAGGACAGCTACGATCTAAACGAGTCGTGACCCGGATCTAGCCCGCGACGTGTGGTCGCGCCCGCGGCAGTCGACCACCACCCCGGCTTGCCGTTGCCGGCCACGTCCTCGCCAAACTCCCAACCGCGTGGTTCGACGGCGGGCTGGAAGCTGGTGAGCGGCGGCTGGAGCTTGCTCGCCGGCGTGTCGCAGCGTGCCGGCAGCCCCGCTTTCAACGCGGGTCCTGGTCGCGTGCGAGACTCCTTGACGGGGACCCGCTCACCCTCCGCCGCCGCCTGCCTCGCAAGGCTCGTAGCCTTCGAGAGCGCGGCGGCCAACAGACACGCAACCCGCTCGTGTGCTCCCACCCCGAGGTGTACGGTCGGGTGCTGGCTATGGTTGGAGTACTCGTCGAGGGAGCGGAAGCCGAGAAGCGCTCGCGGGTCTACTGGTGCGAGGGTCTCGGGCCAAAAGGCGTCGCGGTAAGAGACGGCGGGTACTCCGAGGCCCCGAAGCACTGGGGCACGCACGTCCGGCATCGCCTACAAGGGCGAGTACTAACTGGGGCAGGAGAGGTTGGCGTGTGGCAAGGGAGCGGGAGGGCACCCAGTCTCGCTGGCACACGCCCAACCTAGCATCCTCCCCACCCGGCACCGCTTTCCAACTACCGTCCTCGATGCAGCCGGCGGTGCCGGGTGCTCCCCGGATCGAGGCGGCGCGGACCGCCTGTTCACAGCAACCCTTGTGGAGAGTGGTTCACCCACAGGCCTCGCACCGAGGTGCAGGCCTCGAGGATGAGCACGGCCGGGCGTTGCGGCAGGCTGAGCAGGCCCGACAACAGGGCGGTGGTACTCGCCTGAGTCATCGGACGGTGCTCGCTGAAGGATGACTCTAAGTAGGTCGCGACTCCAGGTTGCCCCCCCCCCCTCCCCCCCCCCCCCCCCGCTCCTCCCCTCCTTATCGCCTGCACGGTCTTTGGAGAGAGGCCGGCGTCGTTGATGGAGCCCTCAAAGACAATCAGATCTGCCCGCTGGAAGTGGTCTGCCTGCTCGACGTTCTCCATGGCCCAGGTGAGCGTATTCCACGCCCCGTGCGCCGCATTGTGCACCTCCACCTTCGCCTCGTAGCCGCCCTGCTGCAGCAGCTCCTGCAGCCGCGCCGGCCACGCACACTCAATCGAGCCACCGTGGAATCCAAACTGGCCGCCCTTGACGTAGCGCGCGCGGGCGTCGTGGCACTCGTGGCCCATTGTGAAGCTCCCTCCGAAGGCGACGATGTGCACCGTCGCGCCTGCCTTCCGCAGCTTGAGCGTGACGTTCTCGAGCCGAGACCAGCGCTTTGGCGGAAAGGCGCGAGAGACAGAGCCGGCGGGGAGGAGGTCGGCGCAAGTGGCGGCGTGGGAGGACTCGATGCTGAGGGCTCGGCGGCGATTCCAACGCAGTGGCGGCGGGACCCCCAGCGCGGCGGCCACAAGCACTGCGAACGGTCGCAGCATCTGCGGCGGCGGTCCGGCGAACGGGACGTACGACGCAGCGCCCCGCTAGTCGGCCGTATGGTTCTTGCACTTGTGCAAGATTGGGCGTCTTCTGCCGCAGTCCCTTTGATGGGAGGCCCCAGGGTGGGGGCCACCTCGAACCCCCGGCCAGGGATTCGAGCGGAGGGTGCCCCGGATTCATCTATCCGTTGGGCCCCGGCACCTATTTTAGAACTGATCACTTTGCGCAGCAACCGTCGGCCGCCGCTTTTTAGCTGGACGGCGGTACGCTGCGCCGTCGCTCTGTCGTGCACGCTCTCGTGCCTCGTTGTTGTGACACGGGAGTAGAGTCGAGAGGTAGCCCTCGACGAGACGACCGGCGCTGCGATGCCAGACCTCACTGCCGCCGAGCTCAGCATTCCGGCCGAGCAGCACCCCGATCCCGCAAAGCCACTGGTGATACCCGTCGACTCAACAGTGGTAGGCTCTACCCTGCGCTTCATTCCGTGGTCTGTGGTGGGCAATCCGGCCTTCCTCCAGCTGCCCCCTCCTCCTCCGGGGATGCAACCGTCGTGGGTCCAGATTCCGCAGTGGGTCGCCATCAGTGCGCTGCTCCCCTTCAGTGAGCCCGAGCCCGCTGTGGCCACCCACTTTGACAGGCTCAGCGTCTTGCGGCTGGCCGTATTGGCCGCGGCTTGGCGCCGCATCCTCGGTGCCTTGTCCGACCTCGGCGTTTTCAGCACGGTGCACGTGGATGAGGATGCGTTCCGTACGGTGTGCATCCAGGCTCTGCACTCCCGCCAAATCCCGGTGCCCGAGCTCTATCTGCAGTGGGGCGATTTGGGGTACTCTGAGGCGATCGTGCCCTTGGGGCCAGCGCCATCTGCAGAAGCAAAGGCCGTCGACTTCTTGCAGTACGCGACAGTCGGGGCTCTTTGCGACCCTACGGCCGACGTCCCGTTCGCAGCCCTGTCTGACATGACCCGCTGCTTGGGGCCCGTCTTCACGGCAGCAGCGCGCGTCGATCCCATGGGGAGCGCCGTCGTGGGGGCTGCATCGCTCGCCGCCGCCGCTGGTCACATCACTCCGCGAGCGAGCGATGGGTATCCCGCCCTGCTCGCTCGGCATGTGCTCAGCATGCTGAAGACTACCCGCTCGAGTTTCCCGGCCTGCCTGAGGACCAACTCTTTTCAGAACTACTCTGCGGAGGTTGAGACTCGCGCCGAGTATGTGGGCGGGACCACCGTGGCGCGCGACCGAGTGGCCGAGCAGCGTTGCTCGCGCGCTATTGCAGCCAAGGCGCCGACGCTCGACTCCCTGCTCCGTGCGCTGCCTCGGCCAACGCCCCCGTCGGTCGTTTATGAAGCCTACCGGCAGCTCGTCTCGCTCTACTTTCCGACGGATCGGCGCCCTATGGACCTGCTCCTGACTGATCTGGATGCTCAGCTTCACGCGCGGCTACCCACCTACCAACACGCGCTGACCAACGGCAAGCCGTTCGCTTCGATCCTGGCGGGGTTGCGCAAGCTTCACGATCGCTCGAGCCCTCGAGGAAGGCGCCAGTCATGACCTCGACCGGCGACTCCCAGGACTCGGCGTTGGGCAAGTTCGACCGCGCGCCGGCTGGCCTTCCGGACAACTCACTCCGAGAGGCCATCCACAGCGCCCCCTTCCAGGACGCGGTCCGCAAGATTGGCAGCATCGACCTCTCCACCCCGACTGGCCCGCTGGAGGTTATCACGGAGGTGTTCCTGAGCGATTCAATGATCTTGCAGCGCTGCGTGATCTTCCAGGAGGCCGCGCTTGCCACCAAGCACGAGATCTTCGGCGTGATCCAAGGAGTGCGTCGGCGGCGCGACTCCCCCCCGCAGATCGCCCTCAGTGGGGGAGACCGCGACACCGGTGACGGAGCGCAGTTGGGAGTGTCTTCGGCTCACGCCAGGGCGCTCGTTGCTCCTCCGTCTCTTTGTATCTTCCATACTGCATTTATCAGAAGACGTATGGTTCTTGCACTTGTGCAAGATTGGGCGTCTTCTGCCGCAGTCCCTTTGATGGGAGGCCCCAGGGTGGGGGCCACCTCGAACCCCCGGCCAGGGATTCGAGCGGAGGGTGCCCCGGATTCATCTATCCGTTGGGCCCCGGCACCTATTTTAGAACTGATCACTTTGCGCAGCAACCGCCGGCCGCCGCTTTTTAGCTGGACGGCGGTACGCTGCGCCGTCGCTCTGTCGTGCACGCTCTCGTGCCTCGTTGTTGTGACCCACCCTGTCCCACCCGTGTGTGATCAGTGTCTACGGAGGGAGTGTCTTCGGCTCACGCCAGGGCGCTCGTTGCTCCTCCGTCTCTTTGTATCTTCCATACTGCATTTATCAGAAGACGCCCGTTGTCTCGACGACTGCCCCCCCGCACCCCCCCCCGCCCCCCCCCGCCCCCGAATCCGCTCCGTATGAGGCGTGGGGCATACACACAGGCGTTTGCCAGACAGCGCAGAGGCTAGGCGACGCTCTCGACGCCCGAGTCAGGCCCATCACCTCGCATGCCTGCCTCTACCGCGGAGCGCCCCTGGTGGGGCGAGTTCGTGTGCTCCGGAAGTTCTGCGGTCCTCGCTTACGTCTTCACGAACCCGGTGGACGTCGTTAAAACCCGCATGGCGCTGCAAGGCGCCAGAGCAGCACTCGAACAGCCACTGCCACGTTGCCACGTCGCCTACAGCCCACCGCCCGCGAGCGCCCTCTCTGTGCGCCTGTAGCGCCGCCACTCTCTCTTGCAAGGCGCCGGCGGCGGCAGCAAGCCCTACCCGTCTGTGCTGTCGGCGCTGTGGCAGATCGGCCGCGCCGAGGGCGTCGCCGGCCTGCAGCGCGGACTCTATCCGGGATGTTTCTGGCAGTTCAGCAACGTGAGCGTCCGCTTCGGCGTGTACGCAACCTTCAAGCGCCTCTCGGGCACAGACGAGACTGCGTCGCCGCTCCGCAAGTACCTGCAGAGCCTGGGGCTCGCCGGCATCTCCGGAGGCCTCGCCGCGCTGGCCTCGAACCCGTTCTTCATCGTCAAGACGCGTCTGCAGGCCCCCAGCAGCAGCGGCGCCCTCGCCGTCGGCCAGCAGCATGCCGCTGCTTCCGGCGCGGTCGGCGGCGCACTCGCAGCGATCGTCCGCGCCGACGGCTTGCCGGGGCTGTTCCGCGGCCTCTCGGCCTTCGCGCCGCGTGTGATTGTCGCGTCGGCCGTACAGCTGTCGACGTACGACACGGTTAAGGGGTGGGTGGTCTCGTCGTGCGGCTTGCGGCCCGACCAGCTGCTCACGCACGTCGCGTCCTCCTTTGTGACGGGCGCCGCCGTCGTGGCCGCGATGCAGCCGTTCGACTTCGCCGCGACTCGCCTTGTCAACTCGCCCTCGGCCGCTGAGGCGGGCGGCGGCGGCGCCGCCGTATATTCGTCGCCGTGGGACGTGATGCGGAAGACGGTCGCGTCGGAAGGCGTGCTTGGCCTGTACAGCGGGGGCACGGCCAACTACCTGCGCTTCGGGCCGTATTGCGTCCTCGTCTTTGTCTTTGTGGAGCGGGCGCGCGTGCTCGAGGCAGCCGTGCTGGAGCGGTTGCGGAGGTGACAAGCAGCAGACTAGTCACTGTCACTACACCGCCCGGGACACGTAACGCAGTTTCCAGAGTGTTTGTACGCCCACGCACTCGTATAATAAAAGATTGTTTTCGTTTTCTGGCTCGATTCCGCTCGAGCCGAGACAGGAGACAGCGGGTAAGTCGGGCAAGCGGCTAGGGGGGACCGCCGCGCGCGCCGGGAACACCCGCCACAGCACACCTCTGTAAGCGACCACAAGCACAACACTGCCCCGCGGAAGAGAGCTGCCACTTTCTCCATGCATGCTGACCTGAGAGATTTGAGACACATAGAGTATCGCGGGCCGTACAGTACCTTCCGATAGTGAGTTATGATGTTGCGCCGACAAAAATCGGCGCGGCAGCGGTCCAATAAGAATTAGAAGCGCGGTCGAGCGGCTGCCTCAGCTCCAGCCTTAGCTTTCATGAACATCGTCCCCTGAGGTGCCCGCCTGTGCGGGGGTTGAAGCAAGGGGGTGGGTCCGTTACGGCTGAGCAGCGCCGCAACGGCAATGGTGGTGGGCAGGGGCGACGTGTGGAGCGAGGCGGGAGGGAGAGGCAGGGAGGGGGTGGCGGGCTCGCTGCCTGTCTGGACTCCCACGGGTGCACCGCCGCCACGCGCTTGGTGCCCGCGAGCAAGTCGGCGTTCCGTGGCGCCGCCTCCCTGGCGTCGAAACGGCGGTACTTAAAGTCGACGCCGAACGCGTCGACAACCTGCGAGGGAGGGTGGTGGCGGGTCAGCCCCACCTCTCTCCACGAAGCTCTGCCCGACCACTATGTGCGGCTGGACTGTTGATGAGCCGTGGGGGCGCACCTTGTAATCATCGCCCGAGCCCTCGATGGCGCCCTCGGCTTGGGCTTCCGTTGTGATCTCCTTGGCCTTGAAGGAGGACTGCCGCCACCACAGCTCGCGGTAGTGGTCCTGCGCACCGGGGGAGGGTGGACGTCGACGACATGTACATGTTGTTGTTGTATGTGCATGTGCACGCGCATGTCCGCAGGAAGGACTGGCTGAGGCCTCAAACTGTGCCGATATCTAGCGAGTGGAAGCCAGTGTGCTCAGGCCTCGGGTGCGCGCCTTCTTTCCGTCGACTGCGATATTGTCGCCGTCGAACGACTGGCCGACGAGGCCGTGTGGCGCAACGACTGTCTGCGTCTTGGGCTGCGGCGCGAGCGGATCGCGCAGAGGCGCGAACGAGAGGTCGACCTGCGGCAGCAAGGACGGCGGTCGTGGGGCGGAAGGTCAAGCGGATGGGAGTTCGGAAGGAGTGGCGGTGGCGCGGGCAAAGGCGAGGCCGATGACCTGCCTCTTGCCACGGACGACGGAGCGCCAGATGAGGCGCGCGGTCGCGTTGATCGCCCAGCCGGCCGTGCGCACGCGCAGCACCTCGGCGACGGCGACGTGACCGTTCCGGGAGGTGGTGGTTGTGTTGGCCACAGAGATGGAGATGTCCTCTACGGTGAGCGACTCCCCTGGCCGAAGGCCTTTTGCCTTGCCGTCCGCAAGGTAGACGGTGGCAGCTTGCGACCGGACGTCGCTCTTCGGGAATGCGAGGCGGACGTTTGGAGTGAACTCGACGCGGACTAGGGAGCCGCTCAGCTCAGACACCTGTTTAGAGCAGAGGGGTGGGGATACGACCTAGAGGACCTGGAGGGAGGGGAGGCCGAAAGCGTGTGCGCTGCTCCTTGCGATGGCTGCGTAGGGGCCTGACGCTTGTGTGGAACCCCGCATGTCATGTGAGTAAGGGCTGCAAGGCGCACCATGCGGAGCCAGACGTCGGTGACGAAAGTGCCCCGCACCTTTCAAGAGAAGCGGTGGTTGCGTCAGTCGGGAGCTGCGTATCTAGCCGGGATCCATCGGGCGAGGAGGCGAGGAGGCGAGGAAGCGACGCACCTTCAGGTCGGGCGGCGAGTCGAGCAGGAAGGCACACGCCTCGAATTGGGCGTTGACCTGCGCGCCGGGGTGAAACGCGGGGCCAGGGGCTCACCTGGGGCGGCAGTGACCGCGTGGGGGGCGAGCTGGTGGAGACGCGTGGGCGCACCGCGAGGCCGCAGTGGTGGAGCATTGCGTAGATGGCTCCATCCTCGCCACGGAAGTCGGCCTCGCCGCCGTGCGCGAAGTGAAGGTGAGGGTCGCCAGTGAGGCCGCCCGGCTTGAGGGGCGGCGGCGAGGGCGGTGCCGGCGCGAAGGGCGGAGGAGCAGGTGGCTGGGGCGGCTGGGGCGGGTCGGGCGGCGAGGGCGGCGGCGCCGGGGGTGCGGGCGATGAGGGGGGAGGCGTGGGGGGCGGAGGTGGCGGGTTGTGCGGCGTGGGAGGCGGCGAGAAGGGCGGCGGCGAGGGCGGAGGATTAAAGGGTGGCGGGGTGGGCGGGGCGGGCGGCGTTGGCGGAGGGGTGGGCGGCGGCGGTGGCGAGGGTGGCGAGGGTGGCGAAGGTGGAGGTAAGAAGGGCGGCGACGGCGGCGAAGTCGTTGTCAGGCCCTCTCGGGCAACAAAGCTCTTGGCTCAGTGCTCGAACTTTACCGGTCGTATGGGAGTTTTTGGCTAATCAAACCCTAGGCCTGCACTAAAGACTAATCAAAAAGTGGTATGGGATACCACCTGCCTCACGGAAACCAAAGCGAGCCCGAGTGCATTTTTTGCGGCGAAATCGGCGAAATTGGCAAAATACCCGGTTTTTACCTGCAAAAATCCGGGTATACCCGGGTAATACCCGCACTCTTGCATGGCTTCGCCTCCTGGGACCACACCCACAGCCGCTACACTAATCAACACTCCGCATACCACTTTCGCATACCACTATACCATACCACTCTTCAAAGTTATCAAAATATCACCAAAATACCGGTCTCATACCGGTAAAGTTCGAGCACTGCGCACTGGCTTGGCTGCGCCGCCGGCTGGGCACGCCGCTCATAGTGAGCGAGTCTATTTTTGGAGAGAGCGCCGAGATATACGGTTACGGAGAGTAGAATCTCCAAAGTTTATAGTTTTTGCGGATTGCGCGCCTGCGGCGCGCCACTTTACACTTTTACCATTTTGCCCCGGGCGGGCCCACTTCGGTCGTGGTTTTGCCCCAAATCTACGCCTAGGCGTAGTGCTTTTAGCGTTTTGACCCAAATCGGCCGAACTCACTTAGCTCTTAGGCACGCGCAACGTAGCTGACGAACAGGACCGTACCTCACTCCAGTCGAACGGGGCAAGCTGCTTACCGGCCCTTGCGCACCGAACCTCGGAACTGCTTCTTGCTCGACCGGCGAGCGCGGCGCTGCAGCTCCTCGCGCCGCTTCACCTTGTTTTGCACCTGCCGCGTCTTGGTCGCCATGATGAAGTTCTTGGTCTTCTTCTTCTCCTGGTTGCTGCTTCCGCCCGTCTTCTTCTTCTTGCGCCGGCCGAACGCGGCGCGCTCCTCGCGGCCCGCCACCGTCGAGGCCAGCTTCTCCTCGCGCGTCGCCGCCTTGCGCGCCCGCACGCCGGCGATGTCCAACGGGTCCACGGCCTCGCCCTCGATCGCCTGTGGACGCGCCACGGAGACACGTCACGGACTGCGGCATCGGACACGTCCTCACGCCGCCTCGCCCTCGCTCGCCAAGGCGCCCGACGGGCCCTCCTCGTCACTCGAGTCGTCGGCGAGCTCCGCCAGCCGCCGCTTCTGCCCTTTGCTCATCCCCTTCTGGCGCGCCGCCTGCTCCTGGATCTGCTTGAGCCTACAGTGTGAAGACACCGACATCGGGGCGGGAATGCGGGTTCGAGGATCGCGGCGGGAATGCGGGTTCGAGGAGAGTATTCCGAGCACCGCGTGGCCGCGAGGGATGAGAGTGCAGCCGAATACGGCCGAATCAGCGGAATACGTGCCCCCCCCCCCCCCCCAGGGAGGGCGCTACTTGGAAGACTAGAACGCGTGTTCTGCTGCGTGCGCCGGCGGATGCGCTCAAAGTCGGCGGGCGTCAGTATGCGCGACACGTCCACGCGGGGGGCCGCAGCCGCCGGGGCCATCCGCCTCGCCTAGTCTCGCCGATGCGTGGATCATCTCAGGCGGTCTCGGGGGCGCGGCCGGCGAGCCTCCCGCCCTCGCCATCTCCTCGGCACCGACACCCTCGCCGCCGTCGCTGTCCTCCTCCCCGCTCTCGCCGCCGCCGCCCTCCCCCTCCCCCTCCTCCGCCCCGTCGGCGTCGCTGCCGTCCTCCCCCTCGCCGTCCTCCCCCTCGCCCTCCTCGCTGTCGCCCTCCTCGCCCTCCTCGCTGTCGCCCTCGTCGCCGCTGTCCCGCTCGAGCTCGTCACCGCTGAGGTCGCTCCCAACCTCCACCGCAGACTCCTCCCCCTCCGACACCTCCTCGCCCTCCCCCTCCCCCTCCTCCTCCTCCTCCTCCTCCGACCCCCCCACCTCCTCCTCCGACCCCCCCCCCTCCTCCTCAGACCCGTCGTCCGTGTCGCCCTCGCCCGCCGGCCCCCCGTCCTCGTCCCGCCGCAGCTTGCCTGCGGCCGCCAGCCGCGCCTCGCGCGCCGAGAGCAGCTCGGCGCCCTCGACGCCCGTCGCAACTTGCAGCGCGCCATACGCGTCGGGCTTCTCGCCCAGGTCGCAGCCCTTGCCGCGGTACTTCTTGTGCAGCAGCGCCGGCATCCGGTCGCGGAAGAGCTGCAGCAGCGAGCGCGCCGCCGCGACGACGGCCTTGTCGCGGTCCTTGCGGTACTCGATCAGGTCGGCGAGGAGCGTCGCGTCCATCGCCAGCGGCACGCGCGCGCACACCTGAGGGGTCAAGGAGACACGGAGATAGGGCAAAGGAGTTTGGCAGAGGCGGCCCGGGGACGAGTCCACGTTGGATCACGCCTCGGAGGATCTCGGCGGATCTGGCAGATCTCGGATCGGACCACGGAGGGTCTCGCCCTCGCGCGCCTCGCGCGTC